TGGAGAGAGGGGCTCTGCGGGCAGGGGCTGGGGGTGCAGGGGGCAGGACTGTAGACCAGGTTGCTGGGGTGGGAGCCATAGGAGGGGCCTGGGGTGCACAGGGAGCCCCCGAGGGAGCGGGAGGAGAAGTTTCCGGAGCAGCCGCTGAGGGACATGGTGGCGGAGTGGAGCGGAGCGGAGAGGAGGTCAGCGAGGACAGCAGAGGGTCTGAGTGTGGACGTCGTGGTCGGGAGTCCGCGTTATATACCCGTGCGGCCTGGGTGTGACGGGCAGGGCCCTCCCCCGGCCCCGCCGTTTCATGGAAGAATGACTGTGGGCTGCTGCGTAGCGTGAACTGAGCACGTCTTCACGTACTAATTGCACTTTAATCCCCGGGAGGCACTTAGGGCGACGCTGCTCACTTCCTTCCCAGGATTATCTGGCGTGGCCTCCACGGCTGAACCCCAAGCCCCTCCCTGCGTCTCTGTGCGGCCGCGAGCCCCGTCCGGCCCAGGGGCTCCCATAGACCCTTCCTTGGCCCCGGGTGCCAGGAGGCCAGCATCAGGGCTGATCAGACAACCGGGTTGATGCCCCTCCCCCGGGAACTAACCTTTGGGCAACTTCACAAGGACGTTCTTTGCCTACAGCAGTGGTTCTCAACCTTCCTAACACCACGACCCTTTAATACAGTTCCTCATGTTGTGGTGACCCCCAACCATAATATTATTTTCGTTGCTACTTCATCACTGTCATGTTGCTACTGTTATGAATCGTCATGTAAATATCTGATATGCAGGATGTATTTTCATTGTTACAAATGGAACATAATTAAAGCATAGTGATGAATCACAAAAACAATATGTAATTATATATGTGTTTTCCGATGGTCTTAGGCGACCCCTGTGAAAGGGTCGTTCGACCCCCAAAGGGGTCGCGACCCACAGGTTGAGAACCGCTGGCTTAGATCATTCCATTGGCTCAGACCAGTAACTTCCCCTCCGGACTTGCCCCGGATCCGGACCCGCCCAGGGAATTCCTGCTGAAAAAGCCCCCCTAGATCCTTACAGCCTCTCCCCGTGCTGGTGCCCGTGGGGCTCAGTCCATCTGGCTTCCAGGTGCCCTAATCCCCTCATGGCTCTTTACTCTTGGCCCTGCGCCTGCCTCCTTGGGCGACCCTCACGGTCAGTGGTCACTGTTCCACACAGTCCATCTGCTTCTGCACCTGCGTGTCCGAGTGGTCTCCAGGTTCAAAGTCTCCACCATCAGTGCGACCTTCCCCGTGTCCGTGTGACCTGGACGAACCCCCGTGGTTCCTGCCAGTCACGGATGGAGCCTGAGGGCACGGAGGCTCCTTGGTGACACGTTCAGCTTCCTGCGCGGTGACAGGCGTGGCTCTCGTGTATGGAGGGGCACCTCCTTGTGTTCATGCAATGCCTCCTTGAAGGCGATGGGAGCCTGGAAGGTCCCCTCACCCCCATGCGTGAGGCTTTGAGTGGAAGTGTTGGCGAGAACTGTCTCCCCGAGCTTCCCAATGAATCTGTCTGGTGTAGGCACCATTCTCGGCTTCGTCTCTACACCGACTCACGGTTCTCGTTTTGTTTAGTTTCCTGGGGGAAGGACATGTATGTTCTCAGCTGCAATTATTACACTAAACCGAAGTCGTGCTGCCGGAGTGGCTGCGGCCCCTGCAGCCGTGAACATGGAGCGCTGGGGCTCCGTGGGGCTTCGTGGCCGGTCAGCCACGCGGAGAAGTGAAGTCGCAGAGCGGCTCCCGCGTCCCTCCTGAGGCTCAGGGAGGTCGGAGCAAAACTAACCCTGGACCCACGGCCTCCACGTGCAGAGCCCGGATCCCGACACCCGCCCGCCGAGATGGCAGCGAACCCGCTGCCATGGGCCCGGGTGAACCTGCAGGTCATTCACCCCAAGAGGCAGCCTGGTCCCCCTCCCGGCAGCGTCGGCTCGGAGCAGCCTGGACCTCCATGCGGCTGGTCTTTCTGCGGGCGAAGTCGGTGTTACTGTGTCGCCCCAGAAAGAGGAACAAATACTTGGGTTAAGAGAGAGAGAGAGAGAGAGAGAGAGAGAGAGAGAGAGAGAGAGAGAGAGAAAGAAGAAGAAGAAGAAGAAGAAGAAGAAGAAGAAGAAGGAGGAGGAGGAGGAGGAGGAGGAGGAGGAGGAGGAGGAGGAGGAGGAGGAGGAGGAGGGGGAGGAGGAGGAGGAGGAGACGATCTTGTCTGTGCTCATCTGCCTGCCTGTGGGTCTGGTGTTTCATTCGGTTTAACTCAGGGAAGTGGGATTCGGGCTGTCGTTGAAAAGGGCCCGTAAGGACCGGGAATTAACCTGCTTTATCCCAAAGCCCCTGCGTCCTTTGTTCCGTGATTCTCTCCGGGGCAGAACCCCGTGAGGTGGGAGGGCACATGGCCGTCCTGGGGCCCTCGCTCTGACTCCCGGCGGAGCGCATGCTCGCTCCGTGAATGGACAGCTATTACGTTCACATTAACACACACGGGGCCCATGAGGCCAGCTCCTCACGCCATCTGGACGGCGATACTTCCCTCTTCTCATGAACAGTTGGTTCTGCTTTGTGAAAAATGACTTTTTAACGTCCAGACGGCCTTGCTTTTCCCAGCCACGCCCACGTCGGGCAGCGCACATCAGGATGGCTGGGGCGTGAGTCGGCGCCGGGAGCACCCGCCCGCCCTGACGAGGCCAGCTTCTCATGGGAGTCACCGCCCCTTGCAGGATGCTAGTGAACAGCTCGCGATGCTCATAAACGTGTCCCCGGAAAAGGGGAGGCAAAGGCAGTCGCTGCTACAGCTCGGAGCGGGTCCAGAGATGCTAGAACATTCTGTGAGCCCGTGTGCGCAGGCTGAGCGTGAGGGGGGGTGCTGTCGGGATGGGTCCCGGGGGAATGTGAGAAGGGAAATCTCTGTTTCTTCTAGAAATGGAGGAATGCCAACACGACAGAGAATTAAGACACGTCCACATCTCCCTCCTGCTCACCCTCTCAGGCCTCCAGCTCTACCCCCGTGAGGCCTGCAGGGCCTCTCCTTGTCCGTCCCCACCGGCTGCTTCCCGCACCCACCCCCGGAGGGAGGGGGTTCAGCTGTGACACATCCTTGCGGGGTGTGAGCTGGGAGCCCCACTTTGGGGTGAGGGACTGAGAAGGCTGGCCTCTCTCCGGCACCAGGCCGGGTGGCTGGGCTGGTCACCTGCCCCACGTGCGCCCATCTGCCCAGCCCAGCCTGACCCCTGTGCCTGCAGCACCGAGCCACCTGCTCTCTTTGGTTTAATGGAAAGGCCTGTCCTGGTGGCGGACGCCTCTGCCCACACCAACCTCACTGGCCTCCTGACTGTGGGTCCCCCGATCTGTTCACACACGAGAAGTAAATAAAGTCACTGAGGGTAGCACAGCCAACCCCAGACAGCTTCCCGGTGCCCAAACCCATGCCGTGAGCACCGGATCCTGCTTATTCACTCTCTCTCCCTCTCCCTCTCCCTCTCCCTTCCTCTCTCTAAAAATCAATAATATTTTTTAAAAAACACGTTATAGTTATAAACTGTGTTTGCCTTTTGGTGTAGGATGTAAATTTCCACTCACTAGACATGTCACGGTTGGTATCTTCACTGTGACATCCTCGTTTGCGATCGGCCTGGGCTGCAGGCCTTCGGAGCACGGCGTTTCCCCGAGAAGGTGAGCTCCCTGGGGAGCTCTCTGCGACTAGAAACACACTCACAACGATCCTTGTTCTTTAAAATTGTGCAGGTAAAAGAGGTTAGAGAGTCTAGGGATTAATTCCAAACACATGGCGGAATCTCAATTTCCTCTGTTAATACAATGACAGCGGGTGACATTTATAAGGTTTCCTATGCGCCAGGCACGGTCCTAAGTATTACAAGCGGGACACGCGTTATCTTATTTTTTATTTTATTATATTTTTACCTTTATTGTTGAAAGTATTACATTCATCCCTTTTCCCCCATTGACCCCTCCAGCCTGCCCCCCCCACCCCACCCCCCGCCCCAGGCCTTCAGCACCCTATTGTCTGTGTCCGTGGGCCATGCATAGACGCACACAAGGTCTTTGGTTGATCACCTCCCACCGCCCCACCTCCCCGCCTTTCCTCTGAGAATCTTGCTTCCATGTCTCTGGATCTATTTTGCTCATCAGTTCATTTTGTTCATTACATTCCAGATACGAGTGAGATCATGTGATATTGTCTTTCTCTGACTTCTGTCACTCAGCATAACACTCTCAGGTCCCTCCACGCTGTCTCACAGGGTGAGAGACCCTCCCTTTCCACTGCTGCATCGTATTCCACGGTGTAGACCAGCCGTGGGCAAACTACGGCCCGCGGGCCGGATCTAGCCCGTTTGAAATGAATAAAACTAAAAAAAAAAGACCGTACCCTTTTATGTAATGATGTTTACTTTGAATTTATATTAGTTCACACAAACACTCCATCCATGCTTTTGTTCCGGCCTCCGGTCCAGTTTAAGAACGCATTGTGGCCCTCGAGTCAGAAAGTTTGCCCACCCCTGGTAGACGCACCACAGCTTCCTATCCGCTCATCTCCTGAGGGGCACTGGCTGTTTCCAGGGCTGATCTTCAGAAGCTTCCTCTCCCATAGCAGGTCCCTGCCTCTTGGCCATCGACACTCAGGGCCGTGACTGCGTTCCCGTCTCCACCCCAGAAACAACGTCTCCCAGCCCCACGGGCAGGGCCCAGGCGCTCACGGACACGACGCAGGAGGGACTTCCCGTGATGAGGGCCCATTACACACGGCCGTGGCGTCCGTGCGGGTGCGAGTCCCTGACTGAGAGCCATAAACCCCAACGAGCCCCATAAATGCCAGATGACGAGGGTTGGTTCACAGCAGTCACCAGGGAACGGCCGGTTACACGCCTTCACACGGGGACTTCAAATGTGGGGACGATGATGCTGGGGGGGGCCACGCCCGGGGCCGGGAGGATATAAACGCACGGTCCAGGGTGACATTCACACTCTTCTCGCTGACCTGCTCTCCTCTCCGTCGCCATGTCCCTCAGCGGCTGCTCCAGGAACCTCCCCGGCTCCCACAGGGGCCCCCTGCGCCCCCCCGGCTCCTCCTGTGGCTCCCACCCCAGCAACCTGGTCTACAGCCCGGCCCCCTGCACCCCCAGCCCCTGCCCGCAGGGCCCCTCTCTCCACGGGGGCCGCCAGGAGACCTGCTGGGAGCCCCCCAGCTGTGGCCCCAGGACCTCCTCGCTCTGCAGTCCCTGTGGGCCGACCCGCCTTGGGTCCCTGGGCTGTGGGTCCCCTGGCGTCAGGCCTCTGGGTCACGGGGTCTGTGGGCTCCCTCCCCGGAGCTATGGGTCCGGGTTCTGCCGCCCCACCTGCTCGCCTTCGAGGGTCACCCAGGCTTGTTGCTACCGACCAGCCTGGGGCTCCAGCCGCCGCTGAGCGTCGCACTGAGTCCCCCCGGGCCGGCCCACCAGCAGCGCCTGTGTCAGACCCGCTCTGTCTTCACCAGCAACGATGCATCGGTCCCTGTTCTCCATCAACTTCTCACCTCGTCTCTGGCCCCAAATACGACGGAAAGACTTTATCTCAAAAATTCCATAATTAATGGATGAGCTCTCCACTGGGAATGGAATGAATAACACTGGAATCTCTTCCAAAGTTGTATGAGACGCCGAGTCATTATACTCTAATACAGTAATTAATGAGCAGCTACGTGTACTGTTGCTAGTTGTTCACGCACGGGGGTTTTGACTGTGATCTGTGAAAGCGATATTATGGAAAGGTTAACGTGCACTGGAAATAGGTTGTGAAATTCCAGGGAGTTGGAGATTTGAACAAATTTTGTGGGACCTCAAACTGTAAGTCGTTGGACTCTTGTTTGAATAGATAGGCTTTTATGGGTTAAAATCTCAAAGTCAGGAATGAGATTGACTTCCTCAGAAGACATGGGCCCTCGGGCATGAAGCAGCAGCTGGGTGGTAGTTACACAGGCAGCGCAGAGAAGGAAACGTCTGCTTCGATGGGAATGGTTAGGGTTACACACGAAAGAAAAGCTGAACAGAAGACAGAGCCTCAGAGTACACCGTCACATAGACAGATGAGCTATAAATGCAAATGAAGACAGATTTATGAACAGGTGGAGTTACATAAATACAGATGACTATCTAGCTGTGATGTAGACGAAAAGACAGATGAGACAGACATAGAGACAGGCTGATAGGCAAGAGCACTTCAAGGAGTTAAGAAATTACAGAATCCAATACACATGCCATGCAGTCGAAACACACCAGCAGGAGATTCAGTAAATGGAAATATGAGACACAGATGTTAAAGTAACTATAACTGATAGACTCGGAAAACAGAGGATGGATTTTAGATGCAGCTGGAGAGACAATTAGTGACTGTTCACTAGAAAATATTCAAAATAAAAAAATCGAGGATATTTTTTTAAAATGTTGAATGGAGCTTCAGAGACTATGGAAAGTCTGACATAATTTCAGTTGAAGCCCAAAAACAAGATTGTGTGTGTGAGGGGGGGGGGGGGGGATATTCAATGAAAAATTAACAAGTACTGACAAGTTGCGATGTTGACAAGTCCAAGAGAATCAGCGTGTAATAGAAACGGACCCAGAGATTTTTTTCCAAATAGAAGCACAACATCAACTCACAAATTTATGAGCCGTTCAAACCCCACGCCTGATACACACGCGGGGAGGCCCACGCCAGCACCAAGTCAAACCGTGAGCGAGAAAGAGAAAGAGAACAATTTAAAGCAACCGGAGGGGGAGAAAATACAAGTTACTTTTTAAACAGTCACATCAGATCGACAACTGAATTTTAAACAGAAAAAAAGGGAAGGTAGACAATAAACAGCCTCAATTTCTGAAGAAAGAAAGCTTTAGACTACTTGACTAGTGAGTATTTTTTTCAGAACTGAAGAGGAAATACAATTTTAGACAATCAAAAGCTGAATTTGTCACTAGCCTTCCTGTACTAAAATCCTATATAATAAAGAGGTAATATGCAAATTGACCATCATGCTCTCACACAAGATGGCCACCCCCATGTGGTCAAAGATGGCCTGCAGGGTAGGGCAGTTAGGGGGAACCAGGCCAGCAGAGGAGGGCAGTTGGGGGCGACCGGGCTGGCAGGGAGCAGTTAGGTGTCAATCAGGCTGGCAGAGGAGCAGTTAGGGACAATCAGGTAGCCAGGCAGGCAAGTGGTTGGGAGCCAGCAGTCCCAGATTGTGAGAGGGATGTCCTGTGGGATCAGGCCTTAGGCAGCAGTCAGACATCCCCTGAGGGGTCCCAGATTGGAGAGGGTGCAGGCTGGGCTGAAGGACACCCCCCTCCCCGGCACGAATTTTGTGCACCAGGCCTCTAGTATTCAGTAAGTGTCAAAAGCAAAATGATCCCAGAATATAGTGAAAAGATGTAGGAAGGAAGGAATCATAAATAAAACAGAGATATTAGATAAAGTTAAGAAAATACTGCCCATAAAAACACAGGGACAAATATACTAGTCCCATGGTCGGCAAACTGCGGCTCGCAAGCCACATGCGGCTCTTTGGCCCCTTGAGTGTGGCTCTTCCACAAAATACCACGTGTGGGCACGCGTAGAGTGCGATTGAAACTTCGTGGCCCATGCGCAGAAGTCGGTTTTCGGCCTGGGCCAGTCTATTTTGAAGAAGTACTGTTGATATTTGGCTCTGTTGACTAATGAGTTTTCCGACCACTGTACTAGTCTATCCACATGCATCAGCCTACATGAAATTAAAAAACAGAAATTCCCAAAACACAGTAATGCACGAATTGGGGTAAAGATAAGTGGCCTTACAATTCCCAACATTCTTGTGTTCTAGAGGAAATAGGAAAAGTATTCATGTCACCTGGCCGGCGTGGCTCAGGGGTTGAGCGTCGACCTATGAACCAGGAGATCAGGGTTCAATTCCTGGTCAGGGCACAGGCCCGGGTTGTGGGCTCCATCCCCAGTGGAGACGAGATGGGATGTTAGGGAATCTCAGGTGTGACTGTATGTGCTGTGGCCCTTGTCCTGCCGCTGACTCACTCTGCGAGTGGCCCTCACATGGCTCTCCGTTCACGCCCGATGTGTGAGCTGCTGCTGTTCACTGGCTAGTTCTGTCTCTGAGCTCAGTGACTAGTGTCTGTGGATGGTGGTGTGGCCCAGCAGACACCCAGACCCTAAGCCCTGGAACTTGAGATTGTGCTACCTTAGGGGGCAGAGGCAGGCAGTGGGCAGCATGAGAGCTGAGAACCAGCCAGCCTGGAACTCTGGAGGTGCTGGTGGGCAGGGGAGGGGGGCGACAATGGAATTCTAAGCCTCCTTAATGATGGATGGAGGCATGCGAACAGGTGAGGGTAATGGACGTGAGAATGGTTGAGCCCTGGCTGGTGTGGCCCAGTGGTTGGGCATCACCCCTGGATGGAAAGACTGTCCGTCTGAGTCCTGGTCAGGGCACATGCCCGGGCTGTGGGCTCCATACCACCACCCCCCCCACCTTGGAGACGTTCAGGAGTCAGCCAATCAATGTCTTGCTCTCACATCGAAGTTTCTCTCACTCTCCCTTCCTCTTGCTCTCAAAAATATTTTTTTCTGTTTTAAAGAATGATCTGACCTGCCATTGGCCTGGAAGGTGGAGGGAGGGAGGGACAGGGAGCCCAGGTGGCCTCCAGGAGTGAAGGGCGAGGAGGAGAGCTTCCCGGGGCCTGTGGGGAGGGCGCAGCCCTCGCCCCCCCAATCCCTCCCTGCCCTCACCCCCACCGGCTCCTGACTGCAGCCCAGTGAGGCCGGGCTGACCTCTGACCCATAGAACTGTGACAGCCACTGACGTGGGGGGATTTGTTGTCACACAGCAGGAAACCGAGGCACGGGTACGTACGGAGGAGAACTCCCTCTCCGCTCCTGCCCTCGGGACGCGGGGAGAGGAGGCCTCGGCGCCGGCTGCCTCCTGTTGGCTTCCGTTTTGGGGTAAAATCGGATGATCTCTCTCGGTTGGAGACTATGTCTGAGACCAACGTGGAGCATGAAAAGCCACGAGCTGGACTGCTTACTCTTGACCATTTTAAATGTTATGAGGCGATGGTGGCGACTCCCCCGCATTTCCTCTCATCACCCCGTTCTCTCCCTCTGTAGAAGCACGGCCACCATTTCACGGCCGAGGAAAGGCGGGGAGGAGCGAGGGGGCACCTGGGAAAAGAGCAGGAACAGGAGATGGGCCGTCGGGGGATGAAGTGGTTCTGTCGCGCTGTACGAGCCCTTCCGTGTGGCCCGGGAAACGCCGGCTCCTCTGGGTTTCCCGGCGGAAGGGGTTAGGTTGAGCTGGAAGAACGCGGCCACGTCTTCTGTGTTGCCTGCTTTGTGGCGGCTCTGGGGCGGGCGGCGGGGCGGGCGGCGAGGAGATGAGTGGCCCCAGGGCCCTGCACTCCGTCACCTACACCAGGGGTGTGTGAGGACCCGGATGTCAATGTAAGAAACAGCCAAACCTGTAAGAATGTCTGTCAGTGTCTTTGAGCCAAACTGCCGACAATTGCCGGGAAGCAGAACCTCAACGGATGGGGATGATGCTCCGGAGAACGCGTTTCTCGCCGTGTTTTATACGTGACATCGAAGGCGGAGACGCAGGCTGGCTCATGAAATCGCTGGCGATAGGGAGGCGGGAGCAAGCGAAGCAGTGGGGGTGGGGAGGACCCTGGGATTGGGTGAAAAGTGAAGTGATGGACACATGCCCCTTTCCCATAGGCGGGTGCCGGGTAGTAACCGTCAGCAACTCACTCACTATCGAGGGGCCGTGGCCTCGCAGAGCCGTGCCTGGGCTTTGGGGTGCGGGGAAAGGGAAGTCGCCCTGACATTCCAGCGAGATGCCATTTGTTATCATCAATGCAGAAAGACAACAGGCTCAGCCAAGGGAAAGGTGGGCCTCTGCCAGGGAAGAACCGCCTAGGACACGACGGCCCACACGGCTTTTTAATTCAAAGGTTTTCGTCTCAGGCCGCCCTGTGGTCACTGTCCATCTCTGAGTTTGCCAGGCAGCCACGCAGGCCCCCCCAGAGCCTGTCGGTCAGCACGTGGCCCCTTTCCGTCCACACTTTCTGACAAAGGCCAGGAGCACTAGGACACATTGCGTGTTCTCTGTAACGGCTGTGTCTCCAGGTAGCAGCTGACGCCGTGTTAGCGCCTTCCTGTTACGGTACCGGGACGGGAGGGGAGGCAGCGCCGCCGGTCAGTGCAGAGCTGAAGGGTCCTCCGGATGCTGTTAACGGCGTCTCGTTGGCAGCGCCAGGCGCGAAGAGCCAGGTGCGCCCCGCAGGTGCTGAGCGAGGGCCCCCGTCTGTGGGCTCCAGCGCCTATTCGAGGGCAGATGATGTGGACAGACTGAAAACGGGGATGGCGGCCAGGCGCTCAGCCAGTTTTAACTGTAGGAGCGTTCCCTGCTGTGACGGCCTCGAGCGAGGGGTGCGTTTTCCCCACATTTCACGCCCACACTCGGCGTCTGTGGCAACAGCCTCAGTGCCGGCCTCACCGACAGAGCCAGGTTGTTTCGAGCCCTCCAGGCTCTGTCCTCAGAGCTGCATGGGCATACTCAGCTGTGAGCAAGGACAGCCCAGCCTTCTCAACGGTTTATTAAGAGAAAGGCTCCACCTGGAGAGTGGGGGGCGTCCAGGACAAACTCCCCCCTAAAGATGG